TGTAATTTGCATGCTGTACTGCCTGGCATTAGCGCTGGAAGCTCCACTACGAATATTTCAGAGTGTTTGGGTGTCCCATTCATCATACCATATGGCCTCAGACTCAACGCAGAGGCCTAAATCAAGAGCCTTGAGAAGGTAGTGCTGCCCTGGGTCAAGAAGGTGGCTGCTGGAAGACCATATCTCTGGCAACCGCACTACAATTTCTGCAACCCTTTAGATCTAGCCATCTAACTTCCCAGACTGCAACCCTTCTTGATTATTATGTGTGGGGCCAGTTGAACAAGAAACCAAGAAAACGCCTGGTAACACCAAAGCTGAACTGAAGGCAATGATTATGGCAGCATTCACGAACATAAACAAAGAGACCATCCCGAAGAATTGCAGGAGATTCCGAAGTCGTCTGGGGCCCTGGTTGAAGCCAATGGCGATTTTATTGAATAAATTTAGTATTTCAAAATATTTTTGTGTAACTTTGGTAAATACATCTGTTCAAATGAGATGACAATGTTATTTTTATTTTTGTGTAATTCATCGACAATTTATCCTTCGTACAATATATATATATATATATATATATATATATATATATATATATATATATATATATATATATATATACGTGTGTGCGTGTATGTGAATGACAAAATGGAAGAGCTTCTTCAAACAAAATTACTTTCTCTTTTAAATAACACTGCATATTTAAGCCGAAATTATGGTCAATGATTAATTCATTAAGTGTATTGTTTTGCGCACCATTCTTTAGTGCTCATGTCTTTTATTTAAGTTCCTGGGTGTCTTTTCAATGTTTTTGTAGTTTATCTTGTAAATTCTCGCTTCATGTTTAAATGTAATTTTGTTTTGTATTCATTAATTCTCTTGTTGTTTCCGAAGTTGTGAAAAAAATTATGTTTAAATAAATTCTTTTCAATAGCATTGAATTGAGTTAGTATGTAGAAATATGTGCCTAGTTTTATTAAGGTTGTTATTTTTTTTTGTTCTTGAAGATTTTGTAAGCTTTCCTCTGTAAGTTATAAAAGAAATAATTAGAATACTAGAGGAATTTATGACTACTGCAAATTCTAAGTGCACTTAAATAGAAAACTGTAATGATTGCAGATTTTAATTTATTGCGATGTGACTAGAAGCCTACGAGATCATTTTTGCTTGTGGATTTTCGGTAAACATTTAATAGGATTGTTATCAATACGGTCTGATATTAATGCAAGTTAATATTTTTGTCTGTTTCTGTTGGATAAATAAATTTAATTGTATGTTCAAATAATTTTTATTTTTTGATGGTATATTAATAAAGTATAAATTATATATTGGAAACATCTGAATTCTTTATGCAATATGTTTTTAGGTAGGTCCAGTTTTTTGAAATTCTAAGAAAAGTCAAATTAAAAGTGTTGCGAATTTCTGTTTGTAAAAATTATTAACAAAAGTAAAATCAAATGTCAGCAAATCTTTATGATTTTGCCTTATGATAGAGAGAAGTTAGTTTTTCATTTTATTAGACTTTCCTTTAAGATATTTAAGCATTTGTTAACTGTTACTTTCGTGTGTAAGGATTTAATATATAAACTAGTCATGAGTTTATCTTGCATATTGATATCTAAGTCTTTCGATAAGTTTACCGGAACTTTTAGTATGTGAAAAGTTAATTGTTCTAAGTGGGATTAAAATTTGCTATAGTTTCTGATAGGCTGAAACACACACAAACATATACATTCTTGGTTTATTCTGCAACTTGTAAGCGAAATTGGGTGCCTTGATGTTGATGGAAGCACTCAGCTAATTTACTGTTTTACTTCTGTCCTCGAAAACATTTGCTGTTGTTTATAGTACACAAGTTATAGCAGTAGGATCGAGCGAGCGAACCAAATCAGAGGGTGACATTCTCTGCCAGTGGAGGCTGGAGCCTCGTTGTCGATTTGATGACGTCACTTTACGTCCATTTTTTTTTTTTTACTTCTTTTTTCAGATAAGAATCTGGAAATTTGATCGTAAAAGATCGTAATGATTTTGCTTGAATAAAATAAGTAAATATATATATAAATTAGTGAGACTTGACTTGTTAATTCTAAACACTTTCAACTGGAAAGGATACATTTTAAGAATGATGAGGACGACAGACCGAGGGGACATCTTCAAGGCTACACTGTTTGCATAGAATAACGAATAAATAAATTAAGCTCGGAGGAAAATGAGAGGTTTTTGTTATCTAAGAATTTTAAAGATTTTTTTACTTTATAGAATACAACTTACGAAATGAAAGAAACTGACTTTGTTGTATTTGTAAAGTATTTAGTGTTACTTTATAAAACATTTTAGCTAAACGTCATTTTTTATTTCTCAAACTTGAATAAAACTGTAGTATCAGTTCTGTTTTTAATTAAGAACAAATATGTCTTTTTCTAAAAAACTCAAATGATACTGACAACAAATGAATCTGATTAATAAATATTTACGTGCATGTGGGTGATTATTTGTGTACGGAGATGTTCAAGATATGAAAAGAGAAAAAGGAAGAAAATCAGGCATGAAAAGAGAGAGAGATTACTGAAGAGAGAAAGAAACAAAGGGGCGGACAGGCAAATAGAGACGTGAACACAGAGAGAGAGAGAGAGAGAGAGAGAGAGAGAGAAAGAGGGAGATAGAGAGAGAGAGAGAGAGAAGGCTGACAAAGGACAGAGAGCGAAAAAAATGAACAGAGAGAAAAACAAATAAACGTGAAGAATCAGAGAGACTGAGAAGGGCGCATAGTCTTAGACATAAACAGAGAAAGGGAGAAACATAAGAGAGTGAAAACAAGATAGATATGAAAAGAGATAGAGAGAGAGAGATAATAAAAATTGAGATGATATTGTTCACCACCTCCGTCCCCCTGATTTAATGCAACACAAGGACAAATGAAAATAAATAAACAGGAAGATCATATTGCATCAATTTCCAAAGTGCAGTGAACCTGACTTGAAAATCTGTCTATGCCACCGTCATATTTTACCTGACTTAGAATACCGTCTACTAAAGCTAGTGAAAAATAAACTAGTATATATGTCAAGTGGAACTAAAAAAATTAAAGTAAGATACATTACATCACAAGTCGAGAAGTATCTTTCGAGTGAGCAAGTTGTTTTTGTCCGTATGTAAAAATCTATAATAAATAATTATTGCTCTACTCTTGGTATTGAGCCCTCTTTTGAATTAAAGCTGTGAATGTTAGAATTTATATTATTTTCGTTCTCATTACATTCAGATATATATCACTTTAAACGTTATTCTTAGGGGATACTCGTATTTGAGTACGCTATTATTTATTAAACAGTATTCATTTACACTATTTATATTGTTGTTCTCAGCTTTATTGTCATATTCAAGACGTTTCGGCCGTTGTACGCTCCGACTTACTTCAGCGTACAACGGCCGAAACGACGTGTATATCACAATGAGGACAACAGCCCGAAGAATGTAAATAGTGTAAATAGTTACAATACTTCATCTCAGAAATATAGACAGATGCAGTATATTTATTTATCTACCGGTGTGAATGTTCGAGAAATTTTAATTACTATTGTACTCTCCTGCAGGAATCGAACCTGTGTCCGTCAGGAGCTAGGGTTTAACCTTTATATATATATATATATATATATATATATATATATATATATATATATATACATGCATGTTTCATTAAAACGTCAGACAAAAGGTACTACGGTTGAGCTTTTTATTTAATTTTCTTGTGTTCTGACTACCACACACTGAACATACACAGAATGCACACACTCTACTAAGCTGATAATCGAATCATCCTTGATAATGGCTAAAGGTATAGCCGAAAGCGCTCGGAAATACAGAACATTCGGACAGTTCTTACACACTCTTTGTCCAGAAAAGAAAGCTCTTGTCAGAACACAAGAAAAATTAAATAAAAAAGCTCAACCGTAGTACCTTGTCTGTTGTTTTTAATGAAACATGCATAAAGGAAGGATTGCTGCCTAAATATACAACTATATATATATATATATATATATATATATATTGTATGCGCGGTACTTATTAGAAAGCGCTCAATATCAGTGATAGAGCTACAACAAACTCACATCAATCCAACCAAAGATATATATATATATATATATATATATATATATATATATATATATATATAAATAAACGTGGATATTCGATAACGAGACTGGGTTTACGCAAATCGCGCCAAAACACATATGAGGTAATATATGTTGAGCAGTATGCAAGCAGAAACAGTCCCTGAATGTTTTTCAATCCGCTTGCATCTTCGGATTCATTTTATTCGGTTCTTGAAGAGGACGTTATTTTCTGACGAATCGTAAATATTAACGTTTTCACATTCAAACAACACATCAATTTGAAAGTTAAATGTTTACAACAACTGCTTACAACAAACCGAACTAAAAGATAGCGACACGTAAACGAGATGATTAGCATTGAAAACATCCTTTATGCTATCAACTATCCTGAAAGTAGAGCACCACTTGGACGAGCAGGACCAGAAAGGCTAAGGACAACAGTCGAAGTTCGGCGGTTTACACACTGTCATAATGGTATTCAAAATTAGTTCACCCCTCCGGAGATACCTTTCTCGAATCACCCCCACCCCGCACCTCATAACGAAAGAATTATGTACATTCAATATCATGCAGTTGTGGTAAGGAATACATAGGTGAAACCAGCCGCTCCAAAAACGTAAACGGAGGAAGAGAGAAGCGAAGTTGAAATCAGTCGAAAAGGTGGACATCAACCCTTGTGGAATTAAGTAGAGATAGTAAACGAAATACTGGAAGATATGACAACTTAAAAAATCTGCACATCTTAGTTTCAGAAAACTTCCTCAGTAGACCTAGCGTAGAAATAAAGTAATGTCAAACCCAGGAGCAAATGAAAATATCACGACATACTTAGCAAAATTTTTAAAGGATATTTAAAAAAATGAATATTAAAACAAAGTATTTAAAATAGCATAATCGAAGAATAGTGAAAAGAATTAATTTAAAAAAAAAGTTTAATACTCATACATTTATTCAAATACTAACGCTGTAACATTACTACTCACTCTCTCGATCTCACTCACACACACGCACACACGCATACACACACTCACGTATGCCGTGACAATATTTCACGGCACACATAAGAGGATCGCTCGGCATGGTGGTTGAGAATGGCCACGGGATTGTTCAAAATACATATGGCCAAGTGGATGAAAGTGTTAGCTGTTGAGTATCTGACTTTTTAAGTTAAATTCTTGGGTCAGGTGGTACGGAAATGTCGTGTACATTGACATAGTGGAACAAACAAGTGACAAATAGAATAAACGATAGAGAATCAAATGATAAGAGCTATTGTACACATAATAATCATATAAGAACAGAAAGATGAAGATATTCATTTGAAAAGTTCATGGAATAATAAAAGCCTTCAGGTTAAAACTTGAGAAAGTAACATTTATTACTGCATGAGATGTTGAATTGCGACGTTAAAATTAACAACTGTTTCAGGTAATGATTTTTTTTAAGTCACCCTCGAAAAAAATACAGGAAGGCAATCAATAGTCGATTTTAAATGTTTGTCTAAATTACTGGAGTTATCATTATTTACATGAGAACAATTGTCTTTGTTGCTGTTATCACAATGTTTCGGACAAAAATTCTACAGATATTCGAGAGGTTATTTCGTGCATTTGGTGGTAGTTATAAAAACGGATTCGGTTGTGACCACTGGTATCCATTTTCTGATAATTCTCTTGGAGCAAAGAGAGATAGAAATCTTTTGCCTCTTGATTGAACCCTTTCACACTGTTATATCACCTCTTATATATTTCTAATTTTTGTCTAGCAAAGAGAGACACGGAAGGGAGAATATGTTTGATCTATCCAATTTCCAAGTCTTTATTTATCTAGGTAAAATCAATAAATTGCTTCTATTTCCAACGTCAGTCATGACAAAAAGAAATTAAAGCCTGAGATTATATAATTCTTAATATTAGAATCACCAGAGGAATTCCACTTCCACCTCACCACCACAAAAATGACAAGAATAAGGTACACCAAAAAATGAACAGAAATAAAAACAAAAGTAATGTTTAATTGTAATCTGCTGAAAATAAATCATTACAAGAAAGGACGAAAAACTGGAAGAAGTCCAGGAATGTATCAGCTTGGTACACGTAAAGAAAATCCATGAAAATTGAAATAAAATGATGTATAACGACTGGTTGGAAATCATTAAAAATAGAGTCGTAACCGACGATGTTCTTAAAAGGTAGTGTTAAATGAGTGTCTAATGAAGTACAGCTACAAAAACATGGAAATTAACATCATCGCTGGAGGAAGTTAGATACATAGAATGAAAAAAAATTTCCTCCATTTTTAAAAAAAATCATGTCTGTTAATTATATCTGTTATTTTATAATGTACTCAGATCCATGTTGATCTCTTTTTATCTCTTAGCGTTATCTCTAACTTTGCTTTCTCAATTGATTTGTTTTTGCGTTTCTAAGCGATGATATTAATTTCTATGTTTTGTACCTTTATTTATGTACGACCATAAATTATTTTAAAAATTAAGGAAAAATGGTTAACTCATGGTTTAGAATAGTAGTAATAATAAACAGAAACAAGAAAAAAAAATTAATTTTAATATTTTAAAATTAATATGTAATGTTTTACTTTTAATATTTTAATATAGTTTTTACTATTGTTTAATAATGTATTCTTGAAATCCATATTAAACATAACGTGACTATATATTTATCGGTTATGCAACCTGATCTCCCCATTTTTATTTATCATTTTTTTGATAATAAAGTATTACTGGACACCAATAAGTGGACATGTATAAAAATCCTAGATTACATAGTTAAATATATCCATTGCGATTGCAAAATTATGTATATATAATCGTCTTTATTTTACGATATGGGTAAATTACTAAGGGGTGCTGAAAAATTCTCTAATATTTAAAAGTGATTACATATATTAGAGGCGCGTTCGCTTTCCAACTATGAGATCCGGGTTCGAGTCTCCCCAAGGTCGATTTATCTGAAAGGTGAGGTGACAGGTATTATCGGCCCGGAAAGGCGATCCCAACGTGCGGCACAGATGAGTGGGTAGACTGAACTCTTTGGAAGCCGTCGATGGTGATGCTAGCACGAAGACATATGTCATCGTGGCCGAGGGTGTGAGTGTACAGTCCTTGTTCAAACTTTTGATCACATCAGAAACTGTAAGGAAGTATCGCTTAGTACAATTGTAGTATAAGCCACAGGTGGGCTCTGTGGGTATTGAACAGACGTCTGGCACAGGGGCTGGTTTGCAGATGGGTGAGATCGGAAACGTGTAGCCGGCCATCATTCTTGTATAGTATCCGTATCCGGAAATACTGATTCCAATATAAACTTACGAAGAGATTGGATTTGCAAGTCTTTATGTTTGTGTGGCTGTAGATATCAGGGTAATGAGATAGACATGGACAGACCGAGATAATCATCTGTCAATGTTGTCGATATAAGGGAATTGACGAGCCAGTGTTCAAGTTCCGGTCGAGATTATTGTGTTCATTTTTACACTAATGGCAAATAGGCTAAATGGTGATAGCCAGGATAGGAGAAGATATACTCAGAAACAAAACACCTTTGAGAGGCCGACATAAAACTACTCCACAATCTTTTCCAAGAAATCCTGACAATTCACAAATAATGAAAAGGAATTTTTGTAGAGCAATGATTACCGATGTCATAAATGGAGAAGACAATGAAAGTAAATAGCTATAAGTTTTTATTTATATTATTCGGACTATTGTCCGAATAATGTAAATAATGTACATAATACCTAATCTCAGAAATATAGACAAATACTATAAGTCTTTGTATCGTATATTACATGATCGAACATTTAAAAAATGTTAAACTTAGTGACAATTTTTTTAAAAACATTTCACTGCAAGCAAGGCAAAAGACCACTGAGACGCGGCGAGGTGGGGGTTGCTGAGCGTGAACGAATATAAGAAAAACATTAAGGAGAAAGAACAATAAAAGAACAGAATTTAAGAAGACAAAACGTAGCGATTAACGTTGCATTTAATGTTTTTAACATCAAAGTTGATTAGAAAGCAAGAAGGTGAAACAGTCATATAAGTGAGACGTACGATAAAAGAAACTGTCAGCATAGAACTTGCGGTTACATCTAGCCATTTAAACTGTAAAATGATATGATCATCGTGTCAATTTAGTACTGCGCTTAAATACATAGTCTAGGTGTTATAGAGAACAATTACCATGAAAGTATTTATAGAAAATACACAGGGAAGCTACATTACGGCGGTAGGAAAGTGACTGAAGCTGAGATGCCAGGTCAGAACCAGTGATCTTTAAATTTTGTCGAAAATCTCCAAATATATAGCAGGAGGACCAGTCCATATGTGGCAGCAATATTCTGAGTATGGACGAATGGTAAACGTATAAATATGTAAGATAGATTCTGATGAGAAAAAATTGTCTAACACAACACAGTGAACCATCTTTCCTAGCAATAGATTCAATAGAATCTTTCCACTTCATGTCAGTGGAAAACGTTAGCCAGGGAAAGCGTAACGAGTCTCTTTCCTGGAGTTTGGTATCAGTCATGCAGATGAAAGACAGAAAAGGTTTTCTCAGACGATTAATAGAGAGCAGTTTCATTTTGGAGGCGTTCAAATTAATAAGCCATTCCTTTCCCAGCAGATTGTAGGTCAGGTTTGAGATCAGCTGCCAATTTGACCTTATTGAATCAATCAGACTTACTATTAAGACAGGAGTATATAGTTTTGACATCAGCATAGACATCAAGTTTGGAACTGATGACACCAGGAAGGTCGTTGATGAAAATTGGGAACAACGTAGATTTAAGTGACATTTAAAATATTTATTTCCTCTTCATTTCGCTACTTTTACGTGAGCATGCTATTTAAAAATGCTGAGATACATTAAAAACAATAATATCATTTCAAAATATATCCGTAAATATCTGTTCGCGCATACGGAGGGAAATTTGAAGAAATCATCATTTTAAAATTCTAGTGGTAAATACCTACAAAAATGAAACGCGATAACTAAAGTTTAAAATGAATTTTTTAAAATGAAAAACATTTCTTTATTTTAGTTTTAATTTCAGATTTAGATTAAATTTAATATTTCCAATAAACAAAATACTTTCCGGTATTTCAAAGCTAATTTAAATTGACCTGAAATCGCTAAAAGTCGCTGATTTTAATGCCATTTTTAGCCATCTGTCAGCACAATGTAATACTCTTCATTAAACATCTTTTAAAAATAAAATATACTTTTCTGAAACTTTATTTGAGGAATATTAGCTGATTTGAAACAAATATTACTTACTTTTAGTATAAATATCGTAGAAATGCATTTTTAACACCGAGGTAGGTGTTTATTTAAGGTATTGACAGGTTAACAGCTTGACTGACAGTCGGAAGTTAATCTAATTTGTTTAAATATCTGTAAAAATTACCTGTGGAATATAACTTGAGACCCTTTTTTATATATAATTTTTAACTGCGCAGTAATCTTTAATAAGTTAGGAAAGTATTCTGCGTAAACTAATGTTTTATTGGAATTTAGGCTTTTCTGTAATTACCGCTCTTCTTTTCTTATAATATCGTGTATGGACATCCGTATTAACAAAAATTGGCACGTTTATATAAACACACAAAAAATCTTTATAAAATATTGGTAATTGATCTATTGGAGTAAGATTTTCCATTTATGATTGATAAATATAGTTTGTACTTAATTATACTTAAATAATAATTGTACTTAACTTATACACTTTTAAATTTCTGTATTAATTTGTACAAACGCTACAAATTAATACAGAAATTTAAAAGATCTAAAATTTTATAAATTATTCTAATAAAAAAAATTATGACAATTCTTGTAAAAATTCATTATTCATCGAATTTCTTTTCTTAAAACAATAGTTTTCCATAATATGTTATTCATAAATGCAATTAAAAGCGTTTCTAATTAAATATGTCTTAGTTTTATTGCATTTTTTTAATTTAAGATTCAGAGCAGATTTTGGTGATGGTGGGGGGTTCCTGTTTTATAAAAAAGAAAAAAAGAGAAAAAGAAAATTTCAATAATTAATTCATTTGTGAATAAGTCCTGAAAGTTTCATTAAAATTCAACAATTATTTGATTTTTGAAAATTAATGTTTTTCACCGAAAAAAAAAAAAAAAAAGAAAAAGAAAAAAGACGCTAGAATTTCCTAATCTAAAAGATTTATAACCAAATTTTTGAACGTTCTAAAAAGGATCAAAAAATATAATTTAATAATTAAATAATCCTTTGGTCTTTTCCCTTAATAATAACAAGATTTTCACGATAAAACTTTGGTTTTATTAATTTTGGGGCATGGTATGCTTATTTTTTAAGTGAATCTGTGGAGGTACTAATCCAGTGGTTTTTCACGTATTCCATTAAAAAATCTTTGTTCGGATATTTTTCATATCCACAATCAGCGGAAAAAGGCAATTTGACACAAACAACAATTTTTGAACGAGGCCCTTTATACAGAAAGCTTAAAAGATTTTTCTTCTTTAGATGTAAAAATTATCTATCAGATCTGCTATCTTCTGGAATATCTGCCCAATGTGTATTAAATAGCAAATGTTGTAGAAGGGTTTGCAAGAATTTTCTTTATCCTACGACCAAAATGCCTTTGACATATTCAACAGAATATAAACAAATGTATATAGACAGACAGACAAATAGATAAGAGAAATAAACAGTAGGAAAAGATTGTCACACATTTGAAGAGACATGAAAACCTTTTCATTATCAGATCTGTTATATACTGTTGTGTCATAAGACCATTGCTGTAATGAAAAAACAAAGCAAATTATCTTTTTTATGTTTACGATACATTTTTCTTTTCGTGATTCAAAATGGTGTTTACTGTTTATGTCATCTGACATTCTAAAAATTAAGCATTTAATTATTGCATGCATTATTCGAACTTGAGTCGTAGAGGATAAATATTTGAGAACAGAAAAACGGATCATTGAAAATGCTATACGTGAAGACCTTAGTTTTAGTAACATATGTCTCTCTGACAGAGTTTGTCTGTTAAATCAAATGGAGTTTGTCCGATTTGTTTCGTATTGTTTACCCAGTAAATATTTTATGAATCTATCAAATGTTTTGTTTTTCTTTCTTTAAATGCCAACGAAAAAAAAATTCAAATCATTTTGAATGTAAGGTTATAAATGTTAATGTGCACATGGAAGTTTAAGTTTGAAACTGGAGTCAGCGAAGGTGCGTACTTTGGTGTTTTTCTAACGTTTCTTTGCGTTCAAATGTCCGATTACAGTCGACGAACAATGCAAACATACACACACACACACATACACGCACACACACACACACACACTTTCATTTTCTGACAAGGAATCCTAATTTGTAAAAGTTGCAGACAAGTGACTGAAGTCTCCCCCCCACCCCACCAGACGGCATCTCGTCCTTGCATTGAGAAGGGAAGGGTCAGGGGTTTACCACATTGTTTCATAATTTGTTTCAGTTTATTGCCTGTTTTTACGAAATTAATACTGAAACAATGTGGCTTACGTACGATATAGCTGAAAGATAAATAATTATAAAATGAGTTGAATTTCTATAACAATAAAGTTGCAGTAAAAAAAAAATAAATAAACATGAAACCGTTGAACGGGATTCACGTTTAATCACGCCAATGTAGATTTTGTTCCAAGTAGAATTATTTTTCTGATGACGTTGGTTCATAGGTAAAACATGTGAAAATAGTTTTCAAAAATTTCTTAACATTTATTATATATATATATATATATATATATATATATATATATATATATATATATATATATATATATAGTGTAACCCGGATATAAGAGAGTTGTCGGGACCGGAGAAGAAGTCTCTTATATCCGGGTTTCTCTTATATCCGTATTTGGTCTATTTTGTTTAGGTAACACAGGCTCTAATTTGGAACCAGAGAAAATCTCTCTTATATCCGGGTTTCTCTTATATCCTGGGTCTCTTATATCCGGGTTACACTGTATATATATATATATATATATAATGGATTTTATTTTTAATCTGATATTAGGGAGAGCGGATGTTCTTTATTAAGTCTAGTAGCCGCAATTCACACTTCTAAAAAATAAACAAACAAAACAAAACAAAAAAAACAGGCGTCTAGTCAAACATGGGTGTCCACTAAAATAAATTTTAGAGTAATAATAAATATGATTGATAGATAGATTTCACGGCCTGACGAAGAAATCCTTAAAAAAAATGGTTGTTTGCCAAGTGGGCCGAGCTTACCTTCACTCCATCGTACGCATGATTGCTGTAATTAACGTCAAGTGATTTAGATATTTTTTTTTGTTTTATCTGAGAAAATGTCTTATTTTTAAACTATTCAATAAGTACGAACTTTTGTGACCCCCCCCGCCA